ACAATTTTGCTGAGAGCTTCACATGCTTGGCGCCTGACATCAGAATTTGTATTGATAAGTGCCATGGTAAGTGCGTTAATCACATCATCGTCTACTCCTCTTTCAATAATTTTGTCGAGACCTTGATACACTTGGTACCTAACTTCAGGATCCTCATTCAAAACTGCACCGAGAAGTCCATTAATCACTTTATTGTTTGGCGATAGCGCAGCAATTTTGTTGAGAGCTCCACACGCCTGGCGTCTGACATCAGAATTTGTATTGGTGAGTGCTATGATGAATGCATCAATCGCATCGTCAGTTACTCCTCTTCCAATAATTTTGTCGAGACCTTGATACGCTTGGCACCTGACTTCAGGATCCTCATTCAAAACTGCACCGAGAAGTCCCTTAATCACTTTATTGTTTGGCGATTGCGCAGCAATTTTGTTAAGAGCTCCACACGCCTGGCGTCTGACATCAGAATTTGTATTGGTGAGTGCGATGATGAGTGCATTAATCACATCATCGGTTGCTACTTTGTTACCAATTATGCAGAGAGCTTCATATGCTGTCACTGCGACGTAGGTGTCAGAATCTCCAAGTGCAGTTATGAGTGCATTAATTACTTTATTTGTTGCTGCTTTTTCGCCGATGTTGATTACAATTTTACAGGCCGTCCATCGAACGTAATAATACGTATCTTCAAGGGCAGCACCGAGTCTATCGATCACTTCATTTGTGGTTGCTTTTTCGCCCAATGTGCGAATGGCTTCCCACGCTGTGCGTCTAACTTTAGTGTTCCCATTTGTAAGATCTGATAGATATAAAAGATGTAAGTTTAAGTAACTGTTTGAAATCGGTAAATCAGAAATAAACGTGGCTGTGTTCTGTTTTATATTAGGGTCTTCATTTTCATACAACGTTTTGAGAGTGTCGAGTACTACGTTTTGGTTTACTATTGATGAACTGATTTGGAGCGAGCGTTGGATATTCTTACACATATCAAGCTGGTTGTTGTATATGGAAAACTTTATCCATTTTTTTATTAAATTCATGGAATGACGCAACTGAGGAATTTCTGAATTACAACCAGCCTCTTCTAGACAGGTAATAAGAAGTTGTACATGTCTGAAACCAAGAAGATCTAACGGCTCTCCTAATAATGTCTCCCAGAATAGATTCAGGCATGTTTTACTATTGCGGTCAACCAGAAGACCGGACGCAAAAGTGAAGACCAGTTCGAACCGTTGATTGTACTTGTGAGTTTTGATAAAATCGATTGCATTTTGCTTTTGGGCTACATCATTCAAAGCTTTTGCCAGATATCGTGCTGCAAAATGTTCTTGGAAGCTGAGATGAAGAAAGTAGTGGTTTTTTTCAGCGTCAATATGAGTCCCAATTGGACGATCGTCACAAGATTTTAGAATACCGATGTAGAGTAGTTGTGGATGATCGTCCAAGCAATATCCGGTATCTACCTCTACTTTTTCGAGCAATTTTGGCCGTAAAATTATAGTATTTTCTTGCATTCCATAAAAAGCGAAGGTTTCTAAGAATGTCAATTCTTTATGGCAACGTCTATAAACGGCGTTTTTTCTCATTTGTGAAGCTCCACCATCTTGTTTTTCTGCATGTCGTCGACATAGCCATTCTATCATTTTATCGTACACGGTTGTCATTGTCAATGTTGTTGTTTTTGACCAATCAGTATCACACCAAAGACTGCACATTAATTCTAGGTTTACTGGAATATGTACAATACCCCAAATTCTTGAATTACATTTTAAGAAAGTGAGTATTTTTTGAGCTTGAAATGCTGCATTGTATATTTTGTCTTTGATTTGGGCAAAAAACTGCTTCACATAATCTTCAATATTAGCATCTGTAAAACCTATGATGTCCAAGTGTACATCGTATGACAACGCAATCGCATAAGGGCGAGAGGTCAGGATGTGATGTTGTGTTTTACGTACATGGTTGAATACATCTTTTAATTGTCCTGGAATGTTTTGTGGGAATTCATCATAACCATCTAATATCCATAAAACTTGACCATTATCAGACTGCTCGTTGAACCATTGTTTATCTTCTTCCGATAACGTACGATTCGAAAAATATTCTTTTTTTACTAGATCAACTGGTGAATAACTAGCATTGGCTGGATAGCGACTGGTTGTCAACAAACGTAGTTCGATTAAAACAACCAGTTGATAATGACACCAAATTTCACCTTGTACCCATCGATGGGTGACATATCGGCAAAATGTTGTTTTTCCTGTACCAGCTCGTCCAAGGACAAGAATTTTTTTTGTTTTATCTTTGCATTTATCAAAAATATTCTTGATTTCTATTCCAGTCTTTGTGTCGTATATTTCTTCATAAGTCCTGATGATCTCACGACTGGGTTGCGCATTGAGGAGCTTCTTCTCGTTTTCTTGTTGTTCCTTAGTTTCCACGATGGCTAAATTAATGTAGCTTTGCTGAATTGGAAAAGATTGTGACGGATTGATAATAAGCTCAATACGATTATTTCGCTGATACGCCTCCTTCAGCCCCCATTTAAACAGATGTCCTGGTTCAGGCTGTGATTCTCTGTTAAAAAAACGTAAAATAGTTAGAACAAAGAACAATTATCAACGGCGTAAGTCACATCATTATAAGGATCTTTCCAACAGCTCAAATACTCTTCGTAATAATGATTTTAAAAGATATTTAACACGTATTCAATCTAGAATAGTCTGAGTCTGTTTGAATTTTATTTAACTTTCTTGCAGAAAACTAAGGCAGTTAAATTCCTGCACGAAGCAACAAAACAATTTCTTGTCGTGGGGGAAAAGTCTCGTATTCTTCAATCAACCTCGACGCTAAAAAATTATATAGTAGTAGGTTTCAGAGAAAATTGTTCGTTCTTTTACTAAGAAATGTAGAATAGTTCTTTGTTGCTATACAATTTTGCTAACAAAAACTTCGGGATAAACGCGAGCAATCTTTTCTCGAACGCATTGCTGATTAAATGATTTGGTAGCGAAGAAATATTTTAAATTTCTCAATATATAAGCTAGAACTGTAGACATTTCTGTAAGAATGCACTATCAAATGATCTTTTAGGGCTGAAACCGATAGAAAGATGCCGAATTCTTTATAACAGCGAGAAGTTATTTTTTGTCTGGTGCAGGACACCAATTCTTATACATCCATTCTCTCTCGCTCGTACACACTACCATAAATAGTCGGGAAATTGTTAAGCAACTACTACACGAATTAAAAAAGCTCTAAAAAGGTAGAAATTTTTTGAAGGGCGAACCCATATCGGATTTTATGACCGGTGCATCGATTTGATAAATTTTACTTATCCTTCATGTGAATTAATCTTTAATCATTTTCTTACTTCAAAGCAATAACGAACAAACGACTTTCGAAGTTGAGTGGTAGACTTGTGGCACTGACGCGAGTGCCAGGCATAAGGACGATTTCTTGCTCTGATGGAAAATTTGAAAACGCAGAGATATCTTTGCCGTTAATTGTATTAATAGAAAATAAAGTACCTGTCGAGCCCAAATAACGCTCAACGACTGAGAGATCCAGCGAACATGAATTTATGCTCCACCAAGTGTGCTCTTCACCGTCAGTAAATATTGAAACGACATTGTCGCCAGAAACGCCTCGCCAAACAGTGTTCCTTATTGATGGCAATTTCTCGAGAGCAGTTATGAACAGTTTTAAGAAGGCAAACCACGGTTTTAGTTCATGCCGATTTTCAGCTCGGAGCTTATTGTTGAGATAAGGAAAGAAATCTTTGGACATTGTGTAAAGGTATATTGCTGCTGATTCATCCCATGTCAACAAAGTTGAACTTTTATTGCATTTTATTTTAGCTATCAGTACAGAATTTTCGAGATCAGAGATAAGTGGAACCAGTTCTTTCGTAGCGTCTTCTAATGTGAGAACGACTAAGCGTTGATAACCATCGATTGGACTAAGATTAGCTTTTTGGAGTTCTGAAATATCATTGTTTACAAAATGCTCGCGCACTGGGAGTGTCATTTTTTGTTGTTATATTCAGCGAAACATGTTCAGGTTACCCATTTATTCTTATAAAGAAAATAATTAAAGTATAGTATGAGCCAGTCTTCCTGCAGAATTCTCATCTTCTGCTGAATTGCTCGCAAAATAACATTGAATTCAAATGAGCGTGATTAGGTATGTTCACATCTCTCTTGAAAATCGTGTTATATTACTTTCTGCTTATGTATTTTTGTTCAAACTTTATAAAATACCTTTCAAATCAATTGCTCAGGAATTTAAATGTGAAACATTATGGAACTGTTCCACTAGGGTACAAAAGGTCATGTAATTACGTAACTTTTAGTACTTCGCATTTCCTATTCGTGGTACGCACTGTCTTTGGTGCGACAGAAATATTCGCTATGTCTCTCATGATCTGCACTAGGAGCTGGACAGAAGGGTGTGGGTATGTGAGTGTGCTTGAGCGCTGAAGTTTAAAGGAGAGATACCCACCCTCACTCTCAATCAGGCTCATACCATCACGAAATTGATGGCTAATTATTGTCTTACGATGACAAATAGAAGGCTAAAAAAAGACGTTATTTTGCTTAATGTCGTATTAGACTAACTTTTATGCGAAGGATATGAATGAACTGATATGATCTTGTACAGCATCTATTAACTTCGTACTAGTCACCGATATATCGCACTCCAATTACCACCAATGATCAAAGGAAAACAGCTTATCAGTGCAGGCCCTTTGAAGCTAAAATATGGAACTCACAAATTCAGTACTATTATTAAAAAAACGCAATCCTTGTGCTTCGATCACGATGTCTAATCACTATTTAATATGCTATTGAGCTTTAACCCAGGTTCCAAAGGCGTGCAGGCAGGAGTACATGGGGAGACATCTCAATATATAAATTCAGATTCTTTTATTACGAGTACCCATCTGTGACAATAGTCTAGTTGTAAAGAATGAGCAAGGCGGAAGAAGCTGAAATCTGTGGTTTTTCATGAAAAACTACAAAAAGCCCAGGTTTTGTTCTGTTGGCGGAGAGTGGGGTATGTCTTTGTATAAGGGAATAAGTGAGGAGCTGCAAAATTTGCACTTACAACTTACACTCACATTTTTCTATGTGAGTTCCATAAAACCGGGAGCGCAAAATCACAAAAAATGAAGAAAAAGACAGTATGAGCCAAAAGATGACTTTTTATTATTTGGAAAAAAGTATGACGCCGGGCGTAGTTCTGTAGGATTTTTTTACTAATAGTGTTAGGGTAATATGGCCTGCAGTCGCTGAGAGTTTCAACTTGGCTGTAAATACTTCTGTATAAAGTAAAAAATTTCTGGTGGAACTACTCCGCCATATAAACAAGGTTTGTAAAAATTACTTAGAACTTTGTCATCAGTTGTATTATTCTTGGAAATATCGTGTGTCGCTGATGATATGAATATCGGTTACCTATATGAATAACTATTTGAAAAAAAAAGTTGTTGTATAGGAGTACTTTTCTAAATGACTACTATTTTGTTATAAGTTTCTAATACAAAAGTATTCTGGCATAAAACAAATAAATCTTCACGTACCCATGTGACAACGTTGCTGCAATGTAACTACTTGTACGCCTCCTCGACATAGACGATGGAAAGATGGCGCCTGGTATCGGTAAAACATATTTAAAGGACGGGCGGGGGGGAGGGTGGATGCATATTAGCACCAATCGACTCATGGGCACTTTCTTGAACAGAAACTTTTGAATTTTATATTAGTATGAAAAACAAGTTGAGACAAATATTTTGGTATAAAATTCATAGGATCTTGACGTACTTTCGAAGGCTAAAACTTACCAGCAAAACACTTTATTTTGTGTCATTAGCCGAATAATGGTTTTAAGGTATGAGTGGATGTGGGTATGGATGTGTGAGGGTTTGGATGTGTGTGGGTGTAGGTGTGCATATCGAACTTATTCTCAGCCATTCATAGCCTCACCCACATTGACACCCACTCATATGCACATCCACACCCTCGCCTTCAAGATGGTTTGGAATCCGATAACTATTTTTCTGTTTAAATTCAAGAAGAATTCAAATAGACCATTATTGTATGTCTGTTTCACAATCCATTTATCGACATTTTAAAAGTTACTTTGCAATATATTACTGCCAGTGACAATTTCTAACAACGAAGTTTACGAATCATTGCAAAAAATGTATCTTAGTCGTGTTTTTATTATCTACCAATCTATTTTATTCGATGTACGTGTCTCTTTTTGTTCAAATTCGTCAACATTGAATTCCATAAAAGTCGACTATGTGATTTCAAAAATAATCTAATTGATTTTAAAGAAGGAAACTTTTTTTTCCGTAGATACATCTTCTTCTATAGTTTTCAAATGATTTTTTTTTAAATATGTTGTATTCATGCTAAGCATGTGGTGCTCGTGCTCCAATATTGACAATTATAGTAGCCATATCCATATTAATCAAAAAAATTAATATTTTGGTATTTTGGTTTTATAAGTTACCAAACAATTCACATTTTGAAGATACTTTATCATAAATAGCTGTCTTACATCGAACTTGAGTTAAACAATTTATTTCACAACTGAATATGTTATATACAATGACATCGATGAATGATAAATATGTTATGTTAGCACACTGAATTTGTCAACCTGTTTTTATAGTTACGTCTATTGATCGTATATTTTTTGAAACTGATTCTGTACTAAGAAAATACAGAATTAATAAAGAAATCATATTAAAGACTTGAACAATTAAGCTTGAACTTGATAGAATAAATTTAAGTTAGAATATAGCACGAAATTAAAGAACGATAAATACCATTGCCTTTCTTTTTCTATATTGAGATAATAAATAATCATGACTTACATATTTTTTACAGTTTACAAGAGTACACTTTCATCTAATGTTAGTATACACATCGTTTATGTCTGCTCAAAAAGCAAGCGATATCTTCAAAAAAATGAGTTTTCCTTAGTTTATTGTGTAGGCTGGAAACAAAGCAGTCATGCGCTGAATTGTTTCTCTGCTTACAAATACAAGATAAAAATATAAACATTTAATAACAAGCCGGATTTTGTAAGAAGATACAAATCATGTATATCAAGTTTAATCCATCGCATTAATATATGATACATGGTATTGAAAAAAAATAACTTAAAGCCACTTCAATAAAACTTTATTTCAAGAAACTGTTGTAGATTATTGTCGATTGAAAAGGCGATGGCTGGTTTTCAGAGTGAGAGATCGCTGTTTCCATAGAATCAAACATGACGATCTGACATGAAAAGGAATCGTTTTTTGATATAAGTATCAGAGATAAAACTAGTTTTTCTCTACGAAAAGACATCATATATTAACGATTAGTAGAACACAAAACTAACGCTCTATCCAATCGTTAGTCGACTAAAAAAACCTATACCGCGGCACCGTATATTTTGAAATAATCACGCACGGTCGTACCATCAAGAAACCATGACAGAGATCCATCTATTCCTATCATAATTATTAAATATTTCCCCATGCTAAAACCTTTTACAAGCTTTGAAAAAACAGGAAATAGCTTGCTGTATAATACATATAATATACAAGTGTTGTTTGTGATATATTTTCATCCCAAGATGCATATTTGATTTGGAGTTAGGCATAAAATCGAACATTTCCTCAGTTGAATATTCGACTGTTGTACTGAATAGGCAAAGAAGTCATTTTCTTATGTAGATCCTTACAATAGCTCAATTACAATGGAGTTTCATGCCACTGAGATTAAAATTGATGACAAATGAACTACATTTTCATATTTTACGTTCTTGCACTATTTGTTCGTAGTGTACGCGTACTATTCTGCCGTGTACTAATAGTTCGTACTTTGTGTTAGTATTACCTCTTTTTTTTGCATCGTCATCCTGACAAAACAGAATTCACATATAAAAGGCGACAGAAAAGGAGAAGAAATGAAAGAACGAGAAAAATATTATTTTCAACAACATCAACCATAACGAGTTGCTCAGTTGACGAAGAAAAGTACAAATAGGTAAGAACGCACTCCTTGGATAACGTTGAAATGAGAACAAAATATTTTCGGCATAAAAAATTCTGATTATAATGAGACATTTTTCAGCTTGGGACGAAGTTTTTTTCGAGATTTAATTTCGATTATGAAACTGTATAAAAACTCAGGACCGAAGTAATTTTAGATCTGCGACACTTTGATTGTTCTCTATGATAAAAATTCAAACGAAAAATATCACTCGACTCGTTCATTGAAAACTACAAATTCTATAATGCCAGTATCGCTGCTATGAATATAAATTATAATTTTACATACTTTATCTTTTAACGTTTCTTACTACAAAGAAACATATACTATTTAAAGCAATTGAGAAAGCACTTGGATTCGAGTTTATTTTTGGTCTTATAATATAAATTCAAAGATGTGAGCAGCTATCTTTTTCTGGTCGATCTTGACAAACTACTTTTCTTTCTAGATAATTTTTTGTCCTCGACTTTGGTTTAGACAAATATCTTCTTGTTTTAAATCACTATATTCTTAAATTGCTACATAAAATGGCGCAACAATATGCCAATAAACAGCCCCAAGGCTTTAAGAACCATGTTGAAAAAGTCGCAATTGTGGGGGTAAGTTGAGATCGCTCACGTAGTCAAGTTCTACTGTAACTTTAATAATAGGGAGGTAGTCAAGTCGGCAAATTCATCGTAGAAGAACTGCTAAAGATCGGCAAGCACAAAATCACTGCACTTACTCGAGAAGATAGTACAAGCAAAATGCTGCCTGGCGTGTGTAAGTTTGTGTGAACCGTAAGTTCAATGTTTATTGAAGAACAACAAGAAAATGAACGATAGAGAGAACAAGATGTAGAGAGGAGAGAGAACGGATGAATACGACACTACACGTGTGTATGCGTATACATATATATAGGATCACGATAGGGAATGATCCCATACCTAGATAGAAAGGAAAGGAAAGAACCATGTGTATATATGATAGAAAAAAGACAGGGAATGTTCCAACATGATCAGAGGGAAATATACCAATATGTATATCACTAGATATACTGGATATTTCCAACACCTTCACCTTTAAAATTGTTACGACGGTGTAAAACGATCAGGTGGTTGCCGTTGCCGACGTGGGTAACGAGGTGATTGTTGAGATGCTTGTTGTTGATCAGTAGTTGTTGGTTTGTTGCGGTTTAAAAGATCATCTGGTAGAGCATCTAGATCGATTGATTGATTGTTGGATTCTTGTCGTAATCGAAGTTGATTTTGATGACGTACACAAGTTTGTCCATTTTCTAATTCAATTTGATACATCATTGAACCTATTTTTTTCTTAATAACACCTGATTTCCATTCAAACTTTTTGTTCCGTTGATGGTTCATCATCCAAATATCTTGTCTAACATCATATTTGCTTGTTTGTATAGGTTTTGATGTTGTTAGATTTGGATGTAATCGTGCTAAATCAGTTCGAATTGGTCTTTGAAAAAGTGCTTCAGCTGGAGGAATACCAGTTATTGTATGAGGTGTCCAACGATATGTTCTTAAGACGTTTCTTAATGCAATTGATTTATTTGTTTGACCTGATTCTTGTTCCTTGATTATACCTTCCTTGAAAGATCTAACAAATCTTTCAGCAATTCCATTGCTAGGAGGATGGTACGGTGCTGTGGTGATATTTTGTATTCCATACTTTTTATAAAATTCATTCATTTCGAAACTGGTGAATGGTGGACCATTATCAGATACCAATGTTGTTGGTGGACCTAGCCAATCAATAGCTTGTTCAAGTACATTACAAAGATTCTTTGCACTTGTATCGTTTCCCATGTCTGCTACAAAAGGAAATTTTGATTTTGCATCAACCATTACTAACCATTTTGAATTCCATAAAGGACCTAGAAAATCCATGTGTACACGAGACCAATTATGATCTGGTTCGGGCCATGGTTTGAAATCTTCTTTTGGTTTAGGTGCTGTTGCAGCACAAGTTTTGCATGACTTTGCTATATTTTCAATATCCATTTCCATTTTTGGCCACCAACAGTGAACACGTGCTAATTGTTTCATTTTTACAACACCAAGATGTCCACGATGAATCATTTTTATAACACGAAGTTGTAATGATTTTGGTATAACCACTTGTGTGTCTTTCAGGATACATCCATGTGCCACTGATAATGATTGTCGAAGAGTAAAATATGGAAATAGATCCGGATTATTTTTTCTTGTTATTGAATTTGGCCATTGATTTAGTATAAATTTCTTGATCAATTGAAGATGCTGATCAGCATCTACTGCTGCTTGAATTTCTCTTGAATCAACAGGACCTTCTTCTACTACTTGAGCTTGAATTCGGTTTACTTGAATAGATTCATCATCGACGAATGATTTATCTTCACCAGCAGGTAGTCTTGACAAACCATCAGCATTTCCATGTTGTTGTGTTGGTTTGTACCGAATCTTGTAGTTGTAACCCATCAGTGCAATGGACCATCTTGCGAGACGATTTGCAGTTGTAACTGAGATACCTTTTGCAGGATTAAATATAGACAATAAAGGTCTATGATCTGTTACTAATTCAAAAGATTTTGCTGCTAAGTATTGATGGAATTTTTTAACTCCATATACAATAGACAGGGCTTCTTTTTCGATTTGACTGTAGTTGCGTTCAGCTGAATTGAGAGTTTTCGATGCGTGTGCGATTGGTTTTTCAGTTCCATCGGCATATCTGTGCATTAGTACAGCTCCAATTCCATAGCTGCTTGCGTCTGTTGCGAGTATTAATGGAAGTTGTTGATCAAAATGTACCAGCATTGTTGTTTCTGCTAATTGTTTTTTCAATGTGTCAAATGATTTCTGACATGAACTATCCCAATTCCATTTAACATTGTTTTGTCTTAATCGATTTAATGGAGCACAATGATGTGAAAAATTCGCGATGAATTTACCATAATAGTTAATTTTTCCAATAAAAGCTTCTACTTGTTTTACATCACTTGGTGCTGGTAAATCTTGAATTGCTATAACTCGAGTAGGATCAGGTTGTTTACCATTTGAATTGATAACATAACCAAGATAAACTACTTCATCTTGGAAGAACGAACATTTTTCCATATTGCAACGAAGTCCAAAATCAGCAAGTTTTGTCAGAACCAATTCCAATGTTGCTAAATGTTCTTCTTCATCTTTACCAGTAATTAGTATATCATCAAGATAAGCTATACTATTTGATACACCGGCAAGAACTTGATCAATCGTTCGTTGAAATACTGCTGGTGCATTGGAGATACCAAATGGCATTCGATTGTATTTGAAAAGACCTAATGGCGTATTTATAACCACCAATTCTTTGCTACTGTCATCCAACTCAACTTGTAAATAAGCATCTGTGA